CTTAACCATTAAACCCGATCCCTCATGTTAACCTCAGACACCCGCCCCAAAGCCCCCTGGTGGCGCAACCCGGAAAAGCCGTGGGCATCAAGGAGTGACGCGAGGGGGGTACCTTCTGCGTCCAAATAAGACGCAGAGGGAACCTTACCTTAAACGTCAATATGTGACGAGTTGGGAGTGAGAATGTGTAGGACGGGTACCAGAGACACCCATAAGGAAAAGGTGTAGGTGAAACAAAACATCATGCAAACAACATATCCAAGTAACATAGAGAATATATCAGAAAAAAATATAGCATATACAAAATAAATATAAACAAAACATTTAGCATAAAAACAGCACAAAGCGTACTCAGTTTAATAAAACTGGACAAATGTTAAACAAATCTGCAAAAAGCATTAGATGTTTGTCTACAACTAATTATTTTTTTATAGTCAACCTAATTATAGAAGGCTGCCAAAGCCAAATAAACTTAAAAAGACAACACTGGCTACAACGCTGTAAGTTTTACATGTATTAACCTAATCACTGGTATACGAGACTGATGATCTAACCGCATTCTATGAGCGCTGACAGATTGCACAAAAACCATTAACTTTGACTCAACTTTTTGTTTGCAAATTATCTCATCAGCACATAACAGACTTTATTATCAGGAAATAATCATTGTATTTTCATCTACAACTAATTAACTTTTGGAGTCAGTTCAGTTGAAGATGGCTGCCACAGGCAATTGACCTTAGAAAATACTAATTTTGCTATAGCTCAGTCTTCTTTTTACAGCTACTAGCTCGTATGCATTGCTTTAAGTTATGCTAAGCTTATAAGAGCTGTGTGAATCTCATATGAACAGTTAGAATCTTTAATGTAATAAACCGTGGTCAACTCTGACAGGTGGACAAAGTAACAGGTGTTCAGACTGATGACAACAGCAAACATTTTATCTCTGAAAGTAATCATTTTATTTAAACTAGAAAAGGGAAAACAAGGTGCTGATAGTGCATTTCACAGTTGCCTCTTTTTGCAAGCTGCATTGCCACTCAGTTCCCTTCAGATAGCTATGTCGGCTCTTAGATCATCAGCCTATTAACATGTTGAGCAAGGTACTAAACACCTGCTAACTATTAAGCATGTGTAGTAAAATGAGAAAACGTCATAGACTGCTTTGTATAATCCAGAATTGGTTAAATAGGCTCTACATAGAGAAATTTTCAATCTGCAAAACTATTTTAATCACACAGCCAGCATGAAGGCAATGCAAAACCCTTAAAAATGCATTCTATTAGAAGCTGCTAATTACAATACACACTGATTACTATTTAAACTGTCAGTTGTAACAGCATGAACTACACATGCAAAAATAAATAAATAAATAAATAAATAAATAAATAAATAAATAAATAAAAGCAACAGCAGGGTAATATAGTCAGTATTTCTAATGTTTGGTCCTTTCAGCTTCACCCTCCCTCCCCCACCCCAATTAGTGGTTTAGAAAGTCTGAATCCCACCACTCAATTATGATTCAAAAATAAAGTAACTTTGAAACTGCAGCTTTGTCTCCAAACTATACAAATAATAATAAGAAAAAGTTTTGAAAATAACTGAGGAGTGTGCCTGTCATCCTGACAGGCAGCACATGAAAACGATGTGGGATAGATGAGCAGTGGGAAACAGATAAATGGTAACAGCAAAGAGACAGAAGGTGATTGAAGTGACAGCTGAGGAATCTGCATCAAAGCTGGCTGCAGATGCGATTTTATTATTGTGTGTGTGTGTGTGTGTGTGTGTGTGTGTGTGTGTGTGTGTGTCTCATGGTGACGGAGGTCAGATAAGGTGGAGAAGCAGCTGCCTTTAAAGACATGAGAGAAATACAGAACCTGTCATATCATCAGATTATGAGACATATGCATTCTTTGCACCTTTTCAACACATGAATGCTTCAATATAGTCCTTGTTTCCATCTCTCTGACCACTTGATTCACCTCTGCAGGCTTGCTACAGTCTTTGTTGTAAGAGGTCATGGAGTGGCTAATTAGTAGCATAAGGAAAACGTCTGATAGTCCAGCTGGGTTCATGGGCTGTATGGCCCATTGTTGAGTTTGTAATTGTTTGTCAAAGTTCAATCAAAATTATAGCCAATTTTTCCATGCCTTGAAAATACCAATTTGTCCAACCTCCCGATAGCAAAAGAAAGTCATGATCAGTGTGTTATAAACACAMCTCAGCTACTGATGCATCAAACGTTAGCTCAGTGTCTGTAAAAAATGACTGGTTCTTCATCCAGTCTTAGCTTCATGGGAGAGTGGCAAAGAGAACGATTCAAGGATTTTTTTATTGTCATACCAGCTCACATTTGCATTTTTTTGGTACGAAATCTGGACTCAGGTCCCAGTTCAAGAAGCTGAAGTAAACCCACCTCATACACCAGAAGGCCACAGTTGGAAAAATAAAATCTCATATTCAGGGATGTCTTTGATTCATATATACACTTTTATTAAATTGTTCTAGGTGAGATTTGATAAGAGTTATCTTCAACAGTGGCTTACTTTCTGCCACTCTGCCATAAAGCTTARACTGGTGAAAATCTCAGGCAACAGTTGTTGTATGAACAGTCTCTCTAATCTCACCTGCTGAAGACTGTAAAGTTGTTTAGAGTGGTCACAGGTGTTCTGGTGATGACTTCTTACTAATCTCTTGTCCACACAGTCACTCAGTTTGTGAGGACAGTCTGCTCAACATGTCCCATAGTACAGCTGTATCTTGATGATGAATTTAACAGAACTCCTGGGAATGTTTAGGGCCTTGGAGAACCTTTAGTACCCATCCTCTGACTTGTTCTTTTCATTTATCTTTTATTCCTGAGTTGAATTAAAAAAAACACTTCAAATACTGCATATTTCTATTCAATTTGTATTTTTTATAGAAATTATATTTTGCTTTGACTATGAAGAACTATATCTTAGATTTTTTTATTTATTCGTTTTTTTTTTTGTTATTGTTTTTTTGTGAAGAAGGCCAATTTATGACTCTCATAGTATGCAGGTTTTTCTGCCTTAGTTTTCTAGTGTTTCAGTGTTCCCCTGTGTATCTGGCTGTGTACAAAACGGTGGGCCAGGTCCTCCAAAGGCTGAATTCGTTGGCCGCATACGTCACAACGCCGCGACGGAGGCCATCCAAAAGCAAAGACTCCTCCCATGTGGCCGACAAATGTGTCCTTCCTTTGGCCCGAATTGAAGGACAGGTCTGATGTATCCTTCCCGGCCCAGTGTATCCCATAATGCATTGCAGCCCGATTGGAGATTTTTTTTTATGCTAGTAATGGCAGATGAAGTGAGAGAAAAGAATACGTTTTACATAAAAATATAGCGGTATAAAAATAAAAAATTTCAAGKGGATGTAATCTTAATACTTTTATCATTTGTATAGACGTGTTTTTAAATATTATTATTGTCAGAAAAAAAAACTTATTTAGCAAAACAAACATGCACCTACCATGACCATTAGTTGTTCAAATATTACCTTTAAGTTCATTTTATTGTTTTGTGATATTAAAAGCACTAATATATTGATTTTTTTTCTAATTTCGATCAAATTTTGCTTCTGTTTAGCATCGTCACTTTCGCTAGGCGACATGACGTACGCCAGGGTGAGGACCGTCCAAATTTGCAGCCACTTTTTTCCGGTCTTCACAGTCTAACAAGGACTGGCCCACCTCGACCGGGTAGGCTGCGTCCTTCGGAGGACCCGGCTGGCCGTTTTGGACACAGCCTCTGCCGTGCTCCAGCCCCGCCCATGCACACCCGTTTCCTCTTAATCTCCTCCAGGTGTTTCTTGTTGTCCTTAATTAGTTTGCCTTTATATTCTGTGTCCTGTCCTCAGTGTTTGTCAGATCATTGTTTCCTGTTC